TTTTATTTATTAAAATTAAAAAATTGTCCAAATTGCTTCAATAAAATTTTGTATTAATGTTTTTTGCGCTTGTTGATTGGTAATATTTTGCAATTTCGTTTTAATAACGGATAGCTTACCATCAATACTTTGAAATATATCACTTAATCGGCGTATTTTATTGGTTAGTTCTGTTATTTGCTGCAAAAACGAAAAATTGTTCCGAATTATAAAATAACTTAATGGATAAGGAATCTAGAAAAGCACACAGAAGATTGAATTTAAAAAAAAAAAAAGAAGAAAGGAAAGCTCTATTTGAAAATACGTTTATCATTTTAGTGGTGAATTGAGGATCAATGTATGCATGAAAATTTTTTCATTCGGGAAATTTAACAGCATTGTCAGAGATTTATTTTATTTTATTTTTTCAATTTTCTTTTTTTTGTACAAAGCCAAAAATTTTCAAAGTTTCAATTGCAGTTGTTATTGTAAAAAAAAAAGAATAATCAAAAAATTAATGTTTTTAGATGGCAAAAATCATTGTTTTGTTAGGTATAATAAAAAATGAAACCGAAAAAAAAGAAATAAATGTTTAAAAAATTTTAAAAATATTGAAAAAAGAACAAAGAAATGGGAAAAATATATACGGCTTATTGATAAATTAATTTTGAAGAAGTAGAAAAAATTACTGAAAAAATAAAAAAGTAACAAAGCAAAGAAAAAAGTTTGAAATGTTAAAAAAAGAAGGGGAAAAAGCGAGAATGCACAAAATTTTGCAATAAAAAACAATCATTTAAAAAGAATAAAACTAAAATTTAAAATTAAAATTTTTTGTTTCATAACAAATTTTTATGTTTTCTTCTTTTTCCCTTTCATTTAATTGTCAAATTTTTCCATCAAAAGGAAAATATTTGCATTTTCAAAATTACATTGAACAATTCCTGAACAAATCTATTTTAACATTTGCTTGTTTTTTTTTGCTTGTTCAGTTTTTCATAAAAATGAAATTCAAATTTAAAAAAATGATGTTAAAAATTTCCATTGAATTAATTTTTTTTTTGTTTCAGACGATTTTCGCTAGTAATATCACAAAAGAATTTCATTAATTTTTTTTAATTCACTGACTTTTGGGAAAAAGAACGAAGAATGCAGAAAAGATGGGACGGAACGAGCAGAAGAGGAGAAGAGAAAGAAAGAAGAATGGAAAGAGAGAGAGAGAAGAATTGTTGTTACTAAGAAAATTTTCAACATTCAAGTATAAATGTAATAAAATATGATGGAGAATATTTGATAAGAATATATAGTATGAAATAAAACAAACCGTTGTTTGTAATTCAACCAGCAATTTAATTTGCTTATCAAATATATCATTCTGTTCTTGTACATATTGATAGTATTCGTCACGAGCTTTTTTTAATGTCTGAAAAACGGAGGAAAAAAATTGCAAAAAATTTGATAAACACATGCATGAAAATTATTTTGCTATTTGAAAAAATAAAATATTAAATTTTTTAATTTCTTGATTTAAAAAATTAATCGATATTTTTGTTTTCCAGCATTACATTTGCAATATTTGATTTGAAATTTGATAATTTTTACATCTATCCTTTTAACAATATCATCCATTGTTGCGCGCAATTCGATATCTTTCTCACATTCTGCTGCTATTTCTTTGAGTTTTCTTAAATTATTAAATTATGTTGACATTAATAAAATACAAAATTTAATGATTCATTTATTCCACTGGTAGTTGATAAATTCAAAGCTAATACATAAAATTGAAATATATGTGGAATTATTTGAAACAAGCAAGCATTTAAATAATTGTAATAAAAAAACATATGATCGCAGATGACAAAATTTTTAATAAACATCAAAATCTTATTTTTATTT